CCGGGCGGCTTTGGTGAAAGCCGGGCGGCTTTCAGCTACTGTCCAGGATCTTTGGTTTAATCAGCCAAAAACAAGGATTTATCGGAGGACTTCGCAAAGGCAACTAGTTGAGCACATCACGAGGTGAGGATGGCTGACTATGTTGTTTATAATCTTTGGGTTAATTTCGTAAGATTACCTAAAGTAATTAAATGTTATTTTCATGGATTATTAATGATTAATAATGCCTAAATGAAAATATTGTTGTCAATGAATAAAGGAGCATAATATACAAATTTAAGGATAAATTGTGTATGATTATGTAATATGAGCATATTGGCTTGATGAAGGGATTAACTATGAATATTATGTTGAAATATAATTTTAACTTCATATAAGGATATATGAGTGATTAAAGGTTATATTTTGTATATTGATATGAACTATATTTTCAATGGAAAATTAGTTTGGAAATTGTCTATACGACTATGAATTGAAAATGAGTTTTGTTGGAATTCATCCGACTAGCATTATGATACTAGTCGGGGTTTTGGAATGAAATATGTTAGAATTGATCCAAGGTTTGGATTGTGAATTGTTGAGCCTTAAGTAGTCTTAAGAGATACTAAGGTGGATAAGTGATGCTAGGGGTAGGCCTTAAGGGATACCCAAGATAAAGTGAATAATAAATTGATCCTAGGAATAGGATTGGCCTACGGGTGTATTCGGTAGTCTTTAAGGATTAACCGATAGAGTATTGGTAATTAGTAAGGACCATGGCCCTTCCCGACTCTAGAGAGCGGGGTTGGATAGCATGGACTTACATCGTGATCACGGGTTAGGGTGGAATCCGAACCGGAGACCTTACGAGGCTCCCGACAGCGGTAACACATAAGATAGGACCCCGAATGGACCTTACCTTCCTACGGGACGATGGGTATGAGTTCAGGGGCGGGATGTTGGACTCCGGCCCGAGAGCCCGGTGAGGCCTCGGAGAGCGGTGACAAGTCTCGTAAAGGATGATAAGACCTACGGGCGGTGTCGTGCTAACGACGGGTATAATGAAATATATGAAATGGGCCGTGTGCCGACAAATAAATAAATTTACTTATTATAGAGATAATAAGTGGGAAATATAAATTATTATTTATATTATGATATCACCCTATTTTGAGGGTCTTAGAAGTTGAAACATTGATTATACTTGGTATAGTTGTCATTGTACTTGTCAAATGCTTCCAAGTACTGACCTCCCCTTCACGGGGGAGGCCACCTCACAGTTTCAGGTAGGGAGTAGAGCTTGCTACCAGTGCCCGTTGCCTCGGGAAGATCTAGGAAGGAAGACGTGGTTCGTGCTTCCTCCGTCTCTATTTTAAAAACATTTCAATTAATGCTCATGGATATTTTTGAATGATTATTGGGGCTTGTATGCCCATGTTTGCCGGAGTGTGGCATAAACACTTGTATTAAACGTTTCCGCTGATTTCAATTGATTATTTTACATTATGTTTGTTTATGGATGTACTATTGTGAATGATATTCAAGACGCCTAGTATAGTATGGATGAGTTGGACTGCGGTTGACTATTCGTACTGTACGGCGGGTTGTTGACGTGTCCGGTAGGTCCGGGGCGTGACATATACGATTTTAGGTTGATAGCCATATGGGTTGGCACATGTACAGGAAATTAAAAGGGTCAGTTAAGTCATTTTACTGCTTTCAGTAATCTATCACCTAAGTCCGTGGACTAAAAAAGCATCATATAAGTACGTCTACTTTAAAAATGGAAAAAATAATAAAAATACTCCAAACTTTGAAGAAGTGTAAGATGAACATCTCAAACTTGCATATATAATTTAAATATCACAAACTTTATATAAAAAGTTATTTTAACACCATAATGAAGTATTATTTATTTTAAAAATGTAAATATATGGTGTTAATTTTACAATTTAAAATATTTTAGAATTCATGAAGGTAAAATTAACATTCTAAACTTTCATAAGAAAATAAATAATGTTACCCCCAATCTATATAATTGCAACACTTTTAATTTTCTATTTTAAATTATGCAATTAACCCCATAAATTCACATTTTTGAAAGAAATAATACATATAAATGGCGCAAACATAACTTTTTATTTAAAGTTTGGAGTATTTAAATAACATATGCAAGTTTGAGGTGTTTACCTCACACCCCCTCAAAGTTTAGGATATTTTTATTACTTTTCTCTTAAAAGATTGATCAATTTGGTCATTTATTCAATTTTTGACTTGTAATAGAAAGGCTTTTATATTAAAAACTCTAAAAAGTTGTTAAAATTTAAAGAAACATAGATAAAAATTGTGAAAATTATCAAAATGTCAAAATCAATATTTTGAAAATTTAAAATTATTTGTATAGTCTACATCTTTTTTTTTTTTTAGTCTACATCTATTAAAGGGTTTTTACAATTTTACATTTATATTTTTTTAAATTTTCACATTATTTTTTAAAAATAATTTGCTAATGCAGGTCAAAATGGTTTGATTGATTGTATTTAAAAGATAATTGCACTTATATGATGTTTTTTTATAGCAGAAGAGCTTATATGATAGATTATAAATAACCGAATTGATTTGATTTATTTGATTCTTTTCTCATAAAAATAAGGTAGTGAAAATTACTCCGTATGTGACAAATATATATGCAGAAAATAAAAAAAAAATGTTATGAACAATAAATATTTTTCCGTAAAGAGGAAGTGAGTGAAGTCAGGGGCGAAGCTACTATCAAGGGTAAGGGGGCCATTGCCCCCCCCCCCCACTTCTTTTTTATGTATTCGTATTACAATTTTTTTTGCCCCCCTCCCCCCTCCAATAAAAAAATGAAGACCAGCTGGGAGCCAAATTCATAAAGATGCAAAGTTGCAAACCGTAACTTTACTAACTAACTCCGTAAGATATTACGTACCAGGCCCAATTATAATTAGAATTATTAGGCCCTATTATGATACTCGGTATCAGTTTTGTATTATCATTTATTACCAAATACCAAGTAATTGGTTAATTTTGTTGTCATTTGTTTATCAAATTGCCAAAAGAGATAGTGTAGAATCTATCATTGATGATTTTTGTGATATGCAAGAAAGGCATTCTAAGTTTTAACTACCCGACGATTATTTTGTAATTTTGAATGTTGCAAATGAATATTGGTTTATCATTTTATTTTGCTATAATATTTTTATATTTTATATGTTAATACTTGTATTATAATCTGGCTCCCTCAATACAAAAGTCTGGCTCCGCCCCCCTGAGTGAAGTGACATACTCTTTTCACATATCGATAGAGTGTGAGCTCCCATTCTTTTACTACAAGCAATGTCCAAACATTATTTAATTAGTTGCTTTTAATTTGTAACCGACGATCCAATAAGCACACAGTATTAGTAACCAACGATCCAGTGTTATTCGTAAATCCATTTACGGATTCGTATTTCATTACCTTAGATTAAAAAAATCATGGAGTAATAAAATAGACAAAATATGTACATAAAGTGAGATCTAGAAGATCAAAAAAGGAAAAAGCTGAGAAAGATTGGTGTGCCGGCTATTTAAAGTTTAAGAAAGTGAATTAAACTATCTACCTTTCAATTCAAATTGACAGATCATAGAATGAAAACCCATCCCTAATGCTTTTCTAATTTTATTTATACAGACAAATTTAAATTAATAAACTGATATTGTATGGTTGAGATATACGGAGTAAGTCAATAAGGAAAAAAATCAATATCAATTCCAGGAATATTTGTTTGAAAGAAAATTCTTTGAGATATCGAAAAATGGATGAACGTTTAAATTATTTCATTGCAGTTTTGATTAATAAATGTTGTCCATTCCCATATTAAACGATTTAGTTTTTTGAGAGTAGTATTAAACTATTTAGTTAAAAATACTCTGTATGTAATTAGAATTTAACGCACAATACATTTATGTCATTATTATTATATGTATCCAGTCCCTACATACCCGTACAAAGTATTAATCTCTATAAAAATGCAATAATAACAAGCCAATAATAGATGAGGCAAATTATGAAGGTTCTGGGAACACATCTTTATCATTACTCCGCATTAGTACATGTTTTTAAGTCAAATAATATGAGCGTGCCTTGGATCTCTCGCCATCAAGAAAACGCTTTCCGTGGTTAAAAGAGAAATGCTTTGGGTGTGAGTTGGGCGGTATATGAATCGCAAACAGATTCTAATCGGATTCTTTGGGTGTTCGTATGTGTTTATTAAATGGTTTATGCACATTAGTCTTCTGTCATTTAAAAAATGCGTCAAATCCCCTTATAGTTATTCATGGCAAAATCCTTTCTATAAACAAATTTAATTGTCAAATAAATGAAAAATGATTAATTTTCTTATACAATTTAGAAATTTTGACGAAAATACCTGCATATTCAATCGTATTGTTAAGGAGGTTTTCAAAATTGTAAAATTTATTCTTGAAGGAGGTTTTGCGCATAAACAATTAAAACAGAGGCGGTTTGACATATTTTTAAGGCTAAATGGTCAAATAGCCCTCTGTACTTGTTCGGAATGCTCAATTCACACTCTGAACTCAAAAAAGCTCCAATTCACCCCCTGAACTCAACAAAAAACTTCAAATCCTATTTTTTGCAGGTGAATTTCCGATCATCGCCACATCAGCCGGTTAGATCCCAATCGTGCATCCCACGTGGAAATATTTATTTTTTATAAATATATTAAATAATACAAAGTCTATTTGACCCCTTAGATTTCCACGTGGGATGCACGGTTGGCATCTAACCGGATGACGTGGCGATGTCCGGAATTTTACCTGCAAAAAGTGGTATTAGAACTATTTTGGCGAGTTCAGGGGGTGAATTGGAGTTTTGTTGAGTTCAGGGTGCGAATTGAGCATTCCGAACATGTACAAGGGCCTATTTGACCGTTTAGCCTATTTTTAAAATCATAGGGGGTTTGACGTTTTTCTAAAATCACATGGGACTAATACACCGAATTTATATTTCACGAAAGGTTTGATTCATTAAACCCGTTTATTAAAGTTTTGTTTGGTAGTAGGGTTTAGCTTCTTCCGCCGTTTTTGTGCGGTTTAGGTGTAGATCGGCAACATGGCCGCGACCGAGTTCGCGGGGAGCAGAGTGGGGCGCGGCAGCTTCTCGGCTCAGACGGAGGACAGCGCCAAGGACGACGAAGGGGATCCGTTGCAGACGGAGGGGGCTGAGAACATGGAGGCGTTAATCGGCAAGTACGGCGGCATGGGACTGGGACTGTCGGAGGAGGAATTGCTGCTAGATGACGAGGAGGAAACCGAGCAAGAACCTGTGGCAGCGCGCAAGGCAGTGGAAACCTACCCTGTCGTGGGTACTATTTTGACAGATAAAGCGGTAAAGTTCCAATTCTTCCGCGATCGGATGGCGTCTTTGTGGTGCCCGGGTAAGGGTGTTATGATTCAAGAGATCGGAGAGAAGAGGTATCTGTTTACATTTTACCACTTAATTGATAGAAATCGTGTGCTAAATGATGGACCTTGGTTGTATGATCAGAACCTGTTAGTTTTGAAAGCTATTGAGCAGGGTGATATGCCTCTGAAGATGCCGCTTGATACAGTTGATTTCTGGGTACAGGTGCACAATATCCCTTATGGATACTCTAATTTGGGAAATGCCCGTAAAATTGGGAACTATTTGGGTAGTTTTGTTACCTGGGATGATAACCAATTTGATGAGAAATGGGAAGCCTATATGCGGGTTAGGGTCAAACTGAATGTGGGAAATCCCTTAAAAGTGGGTATCAACCTGAAGAAGGGTAAAGGGGAAGGGAAATGGGTGGACTTCAAATATGAGAAACTCCCTAGTTTTTGCTTTGCGTGTGGAATAATTGGACATGCTGAAAAATTCTGTCCATTAATGTATGAGCAAGGTCAGGGCCGGTCCAGGGCATGGCTGCCCAGTGCGACCGCACAGGGCCCGGATTTTTGAAGGGCCAAAAACAAAAATTAGTATTACGCCCCAGCCCAAAATCCTCCTGCGTAAATCTAAATATGCTTGAAGAATGTTCCTTTTTAAATAAATTGTAAGTTATTAATGACTATTTTTATCATTACATTTATTCGTAAGTTGTGTTTTAAGACAATTTGCTTGTGTTACAATTTGAAAAAAGGCCCAAATTTTATTCTCGCACAGGGTCTACATTTCTTCGGAACCGGCCCCGAGCAAGGTGGAAAAGAGGTTATGAGACCTTTTGGGCCATGGCTACGAGCAGGTGGAGGACGTCCCCGCTTATCCTTGGGAAGCAAATGGCTAGTTAACGATGGAGGGGCAGGAAGGAGTCTTATGGGAGTGCAAAAGTATCTAAATGAGAAGCAGGACCAGGGCCAGATTTCTGGACAGCTCAAGATTCAGGAAAAAGGGGAAGGGTTGAACCCGGAGGGAGCAAGGACCGCTGGCAATGGAGTGGGTGAGCAGAAGAGGAGGCGGACCTGGGATGCACTGGAGCAGGAGCAATCAGGGGAGGAGGCTATGGTTTTGGACAGCACAAAAAACAGGGAAGGGGCGGCCTGGGTTCCTCAGACCCGCCTAAATTAGTGAAGATCTGGGGCTGGTGGAGTTTTGAAGTTGTTTTAAATTTTAGACTGTTTTCTCTTTCTGTTGTTTTATGCTGGTGTCAGCGAGTACGTTTGTTTGCTGTTATCTTTATTTCTGTTAAGACTCTTGAACATAGGACAGGTGATAGAGGGCTTGGTTTACCAGTCACTGGCTCAAGTAAGCCCAATTTAGGATCAGCGAATCTGGTTGCTTCTTATGAGGTGGCAGGTTCTAAGTCTGGTTCAAGGGCAGACGGTAGGCCTTGGGCTCTATGTCAGTTTGTATTCTGCTTATGTTCTTCCTTATTAATATAAGCCACATTCTTCCAAAAAAAAAAGTTTTGTTTGGTATTTATTTTCTTTTTTATTTGATGTAAAAATATTCTACTCCACATTGAAATTAATCAGACAAGCATCCTTAATCTATTATGATTTGAAAATATACCAAATCATGCATCTACCAACTTCAAAACAAATAAGCGAAAAAGGATACAGAATAGTGAAATAAACTAAAAAAAACTACAACAAACAAAGGGAAATTGCGAACATCTAGTCTAGAAATAAAATAGCGATGACTCCCCATGAGCTATTTATGTCCAATCATAATGCACCCTTGCCTCATTCATTGAAGCGGCAAATCTACCGGTGGGCGTAGCTCAAGTGGTAGATAGGGGGTGCCACATGGGGCAAGTCTCAGGTTCGAATCCCGGCAACTGCGATGAGAGGTTACTATGCTAAAAAATGCACAGGGTCTCTGCAAGTATCAGGGTCAAAGCCCCACTCTCTATCTATCAGTTTGTGATTAAAGTCCAATTTACATTCTTCCATCTAACTGTCCTGTCGGTGTTGGGGGGCCCTCAGGGATGGGGTGTCATTTTTTTTATTGGAGCGGCAAACCTGTCTCCCCTTCCTGAATACTAATGGCTTTTAATCTAATCTTGTACTTACGAGTTTGAGAAAGTCTAGCATCACTCTCTCACGCAGCGCTGGTTCATGAGGGGGCATATTGAGCATGTTAGGAATTTAGCGGTTAGCGGATAATAGATTATGTTAGCGGGCTGTTAATAGTGGATTCAATCAGCGAGTTTGACTAGCGAGATAAGTTGGGTTGTTAGAAAATGTTTGATAATTTAACTGTTTGGCCATAAAATTAATAGCAAATGCCATATTCCAAAGCGTTAAACCAATACTCTCCTATTTGTGGTGTTTCCATTTCAGCGATTTCGTCCAAAAACGCTAGTGTCGAACAACTATTTACCAAACAACGTTTTCGCTTATTGAAAACGCTAAAAGTGGTACGGTCAAACTAACATTTTTTTGACTCATATGCCGTTTACCAAACACCCCCATTATTAGTGCTGCCATAGATAAGTTAAGAAACATAATAGCTATAGATTTATGACACAAAGAATATAGCCCCCTCTTTATTTTGAAGTTTGTTACAATTTCCTCTTGGGATGCTCTTTAAAAATGCTCAATTACCCCTGCATTTTCTACTTTTTATATTCTATTTCATACTTTTACACCATATCTCCTACCTTTTCTGCATTATTCATTGATTACCCTTATTACTTTCCTCCTTAAACAATGTATCAAACCTATTGTAGCAATCTTTAAAATACAAATAGAGTAGTCAATAGCAATTAAACAATTGCATAACATCTTGGAGGAACTTGCATGATTGGCCTAAGAAGAAGTCACCATATAATGACTGTCGAAACTGACAGAAAAGTATCTTTAAAACTCTGTGAAATAAATCACTCCTCACAAAAGTTGCAGACCTTTTCTTAATTATGAAAAATGAAACGAAGAATATATCTGAGGCATCGGAGTGCATTGTAGCGAATGTAAGAGATAGAAGGCTTGGCTTGGTGAGAGTAGAGAGACTGGATCTTACGATCTAATGTGACACCGCACCTGAACGTCCTTGAAAATTCAATTTAAAATTCAAAGTTTATGTATTGAATTTCCGACTTCCAAACAATTGTAAAACGATTAATGTTTTACGTAGTGCATGATTGATTATTATACTGTTCAAACTCGTATATTAGTGTCGGGTTTGCAAATACTTATTTGGGCCTTATTAATGAATATAAGAGCCCAACATTTCCCAAATAATGATACATAACCTTTCAAGACAAGTTGAGGAAGGACGGGCGGCCCAAACATTATTTTGGGCCCAACCTGCTAAAAATAGCAAGTATTCAAGAATGGCGTCGTAGGCCCACTCGGGGATGACCCACACGACTAGTAGTCCAATAATATGAATGAAAAATGTCAAAATAAGTGATAGAATGATTAGAGAAGGATACAAATGCCTATGATCCCATCTTTGACATTATTGAGCTAAATAATGGGAGTAAGAGTTTTACTTCTATAATATTCATCATGTAAATTATTGGGATGATGCTACACATATTTGAGACCAAATAAAATGATGTAGGGAGTTGAATTGGTCTATATAAATTACAATGAGTACAAAAAGACATCTTTTGACAAAAGATTAAACAATAGGACCCATTCTTCCATTTTTGGATGTATTGATTAATATTTTGCTCCCAAACAATTGGGGAACAACATGTTGCGCCCCATATCTTCCTTCCACCTGCAAGACAAGAAAAATAATGTTAGGGGGCGGCCACAGCTGACTCTAGGGGCTGGACTTGACAAAGGAAGCAAGAGGGAACCCCACCTAGTCTATTTTCGCACAAAAAGATGGTGCTGGTTGTCTCCCTCCATAAGTGAAGTTATACTCGACCAAATAACGTGAATGAGGTTTCCTTGGATAGCCTTTGAAGTCTAGTTTCACATTTGAGTGGTCTCTGTTCGAGAGGGGAGAGTTTATCATACAAAAATCGAGCTTGAGTGAACTGCTGTCTGTAAACTCGAGCAGTGAGAGTGTTGAGGCTGGTGGGTTGATATCTTGAGTTATACCAATCTAAATAAGGCGTACAAGATACCAAAAGAAAGATCTCAAGACTAGGAATCCGTGAAGGTCTGGTTTGCATTAATGGGAGTAGTTTAAGGCTTCCAAATCGTCTGACAAAAACACAACCTCGCAGGAACGGATTTACTCTCCTAAAGTGAGTGCTAACCCCAAACTTTGCTTTTCATTTTCCAAATAATATGAACGATTGGTAGAACTATTATACACTACTCCAAGTGTATAATATGTCCTCATAAGGTTATTTTATTGATGTAAAGGTTAGATACTAACCTAGAGCAAATCTTGGAAAAGTAGGGAACGAGTTAGTTGGAAAACACCCATTCTAGGGGCTGTTTTCGTATCAACGATTAGGGGTTGAACTAGCACTTTGAGGAGGCTGTTTAACACTCAATTCCAAGCAAGGAATCAGTTCTCAAATCTTCTTGGCCGAGGCTTTAGTCGTTGGAGCGAGAAGGAAGGTTTTAAAGCTCATTTGAGGTGAGGATTGATATCTAATTGCTTACAACTTGTAGGTTAAGCATGAGATTACCTAAATGCCTAAAGCATAATTTTTCATGGATTATGATGATTAAATATTGATGAAATATTGATATAGTTTCCAAAGAATGAAATTGGAAATGATTTGAGGATGTATGAATAATATGAGATTAAATGAGTTATAAATGAGCTATTTTGTGAAATAGGGATTTTACTCATGTATGAATTATGTGGATACATAAATGAATATTTATGTATTGAGATTGAATACTCAAGTTGCTGCTACATGCCTATAAATATGTAGAGAATTACAAAATGAGAGTATTTGTATGATAACAATGATCGTAATAGTATTGAAATACTAGTTAGTGATTATTGAAAATTGTTGTTGGAATTGATCCTAGGGATTGGATTGTATGAAATGCACTTGAATATACTTCAAGTGTATATGATGACTTAGTGTGAGACTAAGGTTAAGTGGTGGGAAGTCTTTAAGGATGACCCATGGTAGTTTATTGATATGTCAAGCTCTAGGATGCATGGTAAGGGGGTAGACTTGTAGTCTATGTATTGAATAACTAGAGCCGAGCTCTAGGGCTTGCATGGTGATGTGATAGAGCCGAGCTCTAGAACACAAGGTAAGGAAATTGACCCGAGTTACATGAATTGTATGGTGACGTGGTAGAGCCGAGCTCTAGAATACAATGTCATGTATTAGGGTTGGACTCTATGACTTGTCGTGGCTTATAGTCACGGGGAATGTGAATGTTGATTTCTAAATGAATATGGGCCCACGGGCCGACTACTTGACTTTTATATAAAGTAAGTATATTTCCAAACGAGGTAACTTAGGGTTACAATCATAATGTACTATCACCCTATTTGAGGGTCTTGTGTTTGAAATACTTGTTGTATATCTATTAGATGCCTGCCACACCAGTACTTTATAGCCGTATAGAGTACTGACCCCTTCGGGGGCGTCCCACCACCATTTCAGGTTGAGGCTTGAGCTTGCATCCTGTGCTCGTTGATTGAGTGATTCCTCGGAGAGAAGACTTGGTTCGTGCTTCCTTCATTCTATTTGAAACATTAATAAATTTGCTCATGAATATTTTACTATAGAGCCTGCGTGCTCATGAATAGCCCTGTGTGGCCCTTTTGTTTTAAACAATGTTTTCCGCTGCGTTATGAATTACTTACTAGTTTTTTCACCCGTGCGTTGCACGGGGTGAAAATGGCTATTTTACTTTATTTGACAATAATATAATTTTTTCTCAAACACGGTGTCAAGAATTATTTTACATGATTTGATAGTAAAAGAATGCAAAACATTTGCCTCTCGATTTGAATTAAAAATCTGTTAATTTATTTAGGACAAAATGTAATATTACAAATTGGTAAGGACCTGACTTCAAGTCGATTCACTATGGATTTTTTAAATGAATGTAAATTTTCTTGTCTGAACTGGAATGTTCTAATCTGATAGATGTTTGTCTCTATGGATTTTACAATTTTAAAGTCCGGTTTGAGTGCAATTACGTAAGCCAACTGATTGATCTGGATTCCTCATGAGCATCACATTTAATCTTCTGGCCAGGGATTCTAAAAAATTTGATTCCATTCAATGAATTTTGAATAGTGGTTCTCTTAAATCGGAGTTCAAATCTCTCTTCATCTTTGATGGTATTTGTACGAACATGTAACAATTAACCATATCCGTCTCAGGTAGATTCTTCATCTTTGAGTCTCATTTATATGAGTTGCAATTTTGATCACCAGAGCTCGTTACCACTCCACAACTCCAATGAATGGTCTATATTCCTCTATTTCTTTCACCTCCACTTGAAAAATTGTAACATTTAGTACTATTAAAATTTAAGGAGAATGTATCTCGTTTAAT